TTTGATAAAATAAGTTAATTGATAAATCTGATAAGCCGAAAATAGGACTCACTAAATGAGCACTTAATGTGATAGTATTACTGCTACCTTAATTGATACTCCTTTCGCCCTGTCCATGGGCCTGTTAGGTAACACTGAAATTGGCTGAGTCGCGGATGATTCTGTTGAAATTTCAGAAGTTCTGCTAGATCGGATGATTTTGCTGATATATGAACAAATTATATTTAAATTTTTTTATTGATAAAATAAAAATAAAATTATATGAAAAATAGCTAAAATGGTTTTCTATAGTAAATTCAGCCAATTCAGCAAGATAAGTAATTCAAACATTACTTATTTTAATTGTTACAGAATTCGGCGCACAAAATCAAAAGTTACTTGTTTGGTGATAAAGTTATTGAAAAGACTGATAAGCCGATAACAGGATCACCAAACGGTCTCTATATTTGTCCCATTTTACTTTTTTGTCTGCCCCACTAAGCTCTTTCATACTCTCTCCGTCCCGAAAAGAAGTTTCACCTTTCCTTTTCGAGATGTCTTAGCAAGTTCCATCTTTCCTTATTTGACAAACAAATTTACACCAAGAGCCAAAACAGTGTCAACCAGTGCCAGACAGTACCAAACAGTGTCACAACAGTGTACTAAACAGTAAAATTTATCCCTCAATAAATTTATTTTCTTAATATGTGTGAATTTTCACCCGTAACTTGTTTGCGGGACGGAGGGAGTACTATACTTTATTCCAACTTTATTCATACTTGGCAATTCGGTAATTGCACATTTCCATTTTTGGTAATGTTTGGTTGGTGGCAATTTATTCCAACTTTATTCATACCTTACCAATTTAATACTTCATTCGTCCCACTAATAATGAGATAATAGGGAATGACAGGCAAATTAATAAAAGTGGTTTATGTGGTTGATATTGAATTGATAAAGTAAGAATGATTTAGAGTCACACAAACTTTACCAAATTTGATAAGATACAATCTTAGTGGAACAGACCGAAAAGATAAAATGAGACAATTATACCGGGACGGAGGAAGTATCAATTACACATTTCCATTTTTCATAAATAACTACAACACTCACTTTTGCATCAATCTTAAGGTTGGAGGTAGTAATATTTTTCAAACATCATTGTACTTACTCATATACTTCGTATAATAGTTTGAATTTAACATTGTATTGATTTTATTTCCATGGGTCATGGTTCACTGGGTGCACATTTATGCTTAAAATAATGCACAGTCCAAATATACTAAAAAAAGTTGATTTTATTTACAAAACTGCCACCTTTTTGTTAGTTCACATTTCTGTTTCACATAATTCACAACCCCAAATATAACGTTCTAGATTAAGTTTCACTTCTCTCCTTAATTAGATCGTGTTCTTACTTGAATCAAATTCATACTCCTATGCATTTTTTTAGGGGGGATTGACTTTAGACGATATTAGACTTTGCACTCCATTCTAAAATCATTAATATTTACACCTCATCACCCCAAAAATTATGAATAAGGAAGTAATTAATATTAAAGAGAAGAACATTAAAGATATAAGTTACAACTTGCAAATCACAAGAGTCCATATATCAAAATCAAGCTCAAAAGACTATACTCCGTATTAGTTACAAGATTAAGGAGGGATTATTTATACCGGAGTATGTAAAATGAAAGAGAAATAAGTGTTTTTATAAGATAAATGAGATGATTGAATCGAATACCCAACCGAGTATCGAGGTTACCCGACTAGATATCCTTGGCAGTAGCCCGTAAAGTGTTGAAATCTAATCAAACCCGATCGGGTTTTGACCACCCGAGTTTTTCACCAAATCAGATTTTCCCACGTTCTCTTTCTTTTTCTTTTGTCTCCCATGAAGCTTCCAATTATCGCCAAGCTCCTTCCTGCTTTCAAGTGTTCCTCATGTTATTTGCTTATTTTTTTGATCAACAAAACATGCCTCTATTCATATCAATAGATTCAGGATCATTACATCAAGCAAAGGGAAAATAAAACAGACACGAATTGAAACTCCAACAACTACGACTGTAACCCTATGGTGAGACTTTGAGACGGTCACCCCTGAGAGAGCAACACGAATCGCTAACCATGTAGTGGGCTTGACACATCGAAACCTATTCTCATAGATCCAACCATACCCAATGACATAAAGAGAGGCAAAAAACTCAAACAAACTGTCAAACCCAACAACAAAAATGGACGCAAGAAAACAAATAACAAAAAGATAAAAACTACAAGAAAAACGTTCACGAACTCTAGCACCTCGTGCATCCCATGGTGGTGGTTCAGGAGGAGGTCGTACCTCTGGTACCATGCTGATTGATCCTCCATGACCTTTGGCTGCCAAAGACCATGCATCAATCCTCCATCCAAGTATGATACCGTTATAAATTTTGTGAAAATAACAAGACTTCTATGTGAAATGTAAAGAAAAGTGCGCAAACTAAAAAGCAAAATATATCCTCACTTTTTAAAAAAAATCAAGGTTTCTCATGTTATTACTTTTATCCAATAAAGTATTGGTTCTTGCGTATAACTCAACACTCTATGTCGCTTTTTCTCATACATAGAGCTCGTAGCAAAAACTTCAAATTAAGTCACAAAAGATGTCTTTGACTATTGAGAGTATAAAAACATATTGTATGGAGTGTATGATAATGATATAATGATATTAATAATACACATTTATCACTATGAATAAACGGTCAAAATGGGTATTAATTTAAATACACACACTAATAGGTATGTATTAGTGTGTATTTTCAATTGAAGAATTACAACTAGTAATTTTATGTATTATTATTATTATTATTATTATTATTATTATTATTATTATTATTATTATTATTATTATTATTATTATTATTATTATTATTATTATTATTATTATTATGTATATGTGTGTGCATATAGTTTGTAATTTTTTACTTGAAGTGTTATAATTAGATACTGTATGTATTAGAGTGTTTGTATACAAATAAGAAATTTTAAACGGGTCCGGGTCCCTAACGGGTCGGAATCATATGTACCGTACCCGACCCGTTTATTAAATATACTAACGGGTCCGGATCCGAGTCCGGGTAAACGGAATAAAATATAGACCCATACCCGTTAAAATAACCGGGTTCGGGTCGGGTCCGGGTCTAGACCCGACCCATTGACAGGCCTACGTACCACTGGTACCATGCTAATTGATCCTCCATGACCTTTGGCTACCAAAGACCATGCATCAATCCTCCGTCCCTGCATAACCAAACTCATCCATGCTCCGTGCGACCAGAGTAAACGGATAGACGGTGCCGATCTTCTCCAACGACGACAGCAACGCCGCATCCTCGAACCTTGATTACAACGCCGATCTCCTCGAGCCATGCCAGCAAATCTGCCCTCCTCCACCGATCTCCGCCCTCCGCGTCTGACCTGGACTCCAGTCGAGCACCAGCGACCAAGGGATAACAAAGCCGATCTTCGACAAAGTCGAAATCGGAAAAAGGCTCCAGCGGCCGACATAGTCAAAGCCCTAGAGAGACAAACTCGTGATCGCTCAACCTTAGCCAAAAGCAGACCACTGCTCCGCGGCCAGATATGCGAACAAGAACAGCCGAACTTCGATCAATATGATCGAATTCGAAAAAAAAAAGCCTAGAGGCGGCTGCCCTAGGAGAAACGATCTTTGAGTTAGTTAAGAGTTTCAAATATGGTATTTGAAAAATTAATTTTACTGCAAATCTCCAACTGTACGTGAATCCTATGGTAGTTTCCCTCATGTTACTTGCTTATATGTCAAATCTTTTAATAATTTCTTATTCTAATCTTATTTTAATTTAGAAGATAATTATTACACTGTAATTGTGCAAAAGTTAAATAAAACTATGTAAAATCATTATAAAATGTGTTCTTTATACACTACTCTTGCACTACTCCGTGATAAATGTAGTATAGAGTAGCACATATCAATAGTCTTTCCCAACAGATACATACCTGTAGGTTAAGTGCATCTATCCATTATTCCGCTGCTCAGTGATTTTGTTGCCGGTAGAAAAATCTTGACACTGAGCGAGGTAGCCAAAAAAAGAAAAGAAATAGGAGTACGTAATAACCATAACAAAACAAATTGACCTGCGCTTATTGACAGAGCCAACTTTTGGGAAAAAGGTTTTGGTTTTGGGAAAATAATGTCTCCATCCTAGCCCAACGTGAACTTCATAAATTAATTAAATTATTTCATTTGTTGACAATTAATGAAATGGACGTTGTGCCGGCCGGGCAACCCTTGTTCTCCGACAACCCACGAATTGAACCAGCGTGATATTCCGTCTTCGGAATCTTTAACCTAACGACTACATTCCAATCGCCATTTCTTTTCATTATTAAAAGCGACGATTGGAACCCTAATCACTCACGGGTCCCCATCTCTCGAGTCTCTACACTCGCTAATTCTAGGCTTGTGATCGGTTCCAGTTAAAAAACAATAGAACTAATTGTATTGAAATTTGGAGACGTTAAATTTGGTTCGATTTTAGTAAAAAAAATATACTCCCTCCGTCCCCGAAACAACTTTCCCGTTTGACTTGCATACATATTAAGGAAATAAACTTACCAGGGATAAATTTCACTTTTTTGACACTGTTTCGACACCGTTACACTTTTTGACACTGTTTTGCACTGTTTTGATGTAGATAACTTGCCATTTAAGGAAATGAGAAGTTAAATTAGGGACATCCAAATAAGGAAAGTGAGAAGTTGTTTCAGGGACGGAGGGAGTAGTTGTTAAGTTCGGTACGTTTTTTACCCTTTTGGTTCCTTATAAAAAATTATTATCCTCCTAAAATGAACTCATTTTACCTTCAGTTACCAAAAAATATTCAAATTTCAAATCATGAAAATAATTGTCGGAGTTATGATCATTACATTATGAGAATATTATCCGAAATAAGATTAAAAAGGTTTGAAAATTCTAAAATAGGACTGCCATATTTTTATTTCCAAAATAGAATTAATTACTACCATGTTTTGGCAGTACCAGACTTCAAACATGACATTATTTTCCAAACTTGACAGTAATTACTTTTATTTTGGGAATATAAAACATGACAGTCCTATTTTGGAATTTTCAAACGAACTGTTTTAGTTCTATTTTGGGAACTTTCCCTTACATTATACATTATACATACATGATATTCCAGTGTTCAAAACTTAAAATATCATATAAATATACATGTGCAAACATCAAATTTAAACATAAAAAATGGCTGGATGTCTTTGGAAATGCGTCTGCAGAATCTTTAGAGGGAGCTCCTAATGATCACCTTGCTCTATTTATTAAGTTAGTTCCAACTCCTAGAGTGAATCAAAGGCAAAAATTCAAATTCAAAAATGTATGGCTCAGAGAGGATGATTGCCGCGACATTGTGGCGAGAAGTTGGGGTTTAGGCCGAGATGGTGGCATCCTGAGACAAGTGACAGTTTGCGGTAAAGCAGTAGGGGATTGGGGTCGAGATCGGATTGGCTCCTTCGGCAAACACATTGGATTCTGTAAAAAAAGATTGGATTTTTTACGAAGAAGATCAGATGATTGGGGGTTAATCGAGTTCCAAAGGGTGAGGAGGGAGTACTTGGACCTTCTGGAGAAAGAAAATCAGTTCTGGAGACACCGAGCGAAGGAATTCTGGCTCTAGGGAAGCGACCTTAATACTCATTTTATTCATAACTCGGTCAAACATCCGAGGAGGAAAAATAGGATCGAAGGATTTAAAGTAGATGGAGGGAGATGGGAAAGGGATCGTGGTGTCATTGGGCAAATTGGTGATTATTTCACAAATATTTTTGCTTTGGTTCAAGGTGACAGAGAGTTTATCTTTAATTGTGTTCCAAGAAGTCTGGATGATCATCATAATTTTGAGCTGTTACGACCCATTAGGAGAGAGGAGGTTAAAGATGCTCTTTTCTCTATGTTTCCTGATAAATCTTGTTGGGCCCAATGGACTAACACGCATTAGTAACTTGGAAGATGGATTGACCCGTCATTGTATTATTCAAATGGCAAGGTAATATTTGAATTCGGCAACGAGAGGATAAGAAGAGGGGAACGAGTCAACAAAGGGAAGGCTCAAAGCGGTTAGATATGGAGAGAAAATAGCTACACGTTGAGAAACTTGGGGAAGGAGTATTTTTGTTTAATAAATATTAGTCTAGCATCACTGTAAAACACACATTGCATAATACGAATATACTACTACTCACTATCGAAGTTCATTCCTACTACTCTTACTCTGTATTCAAGCTTTTCCATTAATACATAGTTATATACCATACGTATACACTTTTATCCCTTCGATTAGTCCATATTGATTCGAACTTTGCTTGATTCCCGTTCTTAATTCAAATCTAGAATAGTTTATTTCTTGCATAAACAATTGGCGCCGTCTGTGGGAAATTCTTGCAAAACGAGAATCAACTATGGCCGGAAGTTCTAATTCCCTATTCGATGAGATTCAAGCACAACTAGAAGCCGTTCGAAAGGAGCTCCGCGCGGCCAAAAGCACTGAAGCGGCACAATTGGAAGATGTCCGGGAAGAGTTACGTGCGTCCAAGGAAGCCAACCAGTCGAAGGAAGATGCTCAAACCCAGTTTGAAGCCGTAAGAGAAGAGATGCGTCAACGAATAGCTCTTCTCCAAGGAGAAAACGACGCCTTGAGATCCCAGGTTCAGTCGGTGGCGTCTATAGCATCAAACTCGCGAAAAGGGAAAGAGGCGATGACTGCCGCATCAAAGCTGGACATGGACGCCATACCGATCTCAACTTCAACAATCACGTTCGCATCCGAGACTTTCCTGGGACTTTCAGATTTTGATCCATACGCTAAAGGTTCCCCGGTGATCTCACAGCTCATACCCTATGAGCCTCTTGTCCCAACGACGACTCCAGAAGCAAGCATCCCCATGTGCTTCTTCCCGGATCTGTTGCAAACCAAAACGACGACATCGGGATTGCAGACCGTCCACCAGCAGATGCCGATTCCAACCACTATGTCTACATCAACAGAGCCTCTCGTTCCTCATCCGGGAGTCGGCACGTCAGGAGAGGCAGGACCATCGTTTCGTGGCCTGCACCACTTCTGAACCCCAGAAGGAACGTCTTCCGCAATTTGTTTACTGAACACCCGAGACAACATGTTCCCGCACGTGACAACATGACTGAAGTCGTCGACATCAACAACCAGGGGCGTCAACATCCGGAAACCGTCATCATACATTCACCACCCGAGCGGAGGATGTCTCAAGCAGGGACGCACTTCGGAATAGGAGGCCCCCAGATGCATATGGACATGACGAAACCTTTAGCCTTCATCATGCAAGAGTTAAGGGAATTGCGAGAGAAGTATAATGGCATGCCAGGGGTTCCCCGTCCCCTTGACATGGCGGCTCGAACCTGTTATGCGGATTCCCCATTCGGACGACATATAGCAGACGTTGAGATTCCGAGGAAGTTCACAGCCCCGTCTATGAAGTTATTTGACGGAACCACAGACCCGGTAGATCACGTCGCCCAATACAAACAGAGGATGTTAGCAATTTCTGTTAGGGCGGATCAGCGAGAAGCCTGCATGTGCAGGGCATTCGGAACGACATTGACGGGTCCAGCGCTAACATGGTTCGTCAACCTACCGAATGGGGGCATCGATTCCTTTGCGGATCTGGTTAATTTGTTCACCCAGCAATTTGCAAGTAGTCGTACGTTGGAGAAGCAGACTAGCGACTTATATCGAATAATACAAAGGCGTAACGAATCCTTACGTGACTACTTGCATCGATTTAACAAGGAAAAAGTGTCAATCCCAAGGTGTGACACAACGACAGCTGTAGAGGCATTCAGGAGAGGACTGCGTGAAGACTCGGACTTGTATAGGGAGCTGACCAAGTTTCCATGCAAGACGTTCGAAGACGTCCAGGCTATGACGCTGGCCTTCATCCGGCTTGAGGAGGATGAACAATCTCATCTTCGTTCGAATGGATATGAGGGTGGACAACGGAAGGCCAACACCTCCAGGAAGCATGACTACACGACAGGAAAGCCTTACGCGAAGAATGATGATCGACCTGTAGCATCAGCAACTACATGGCTTGATGATCCTAGTTTGCCACCTACCATCCCAACATACTGCTTCAACGTCAACACAACCGGACTTATCAACGCCCTGGACAAATTGGGGGACAAAGTCCGATGGCCCACAAAATCGATCAGACAGGTCCAGCGGGCGGCGAGACCCCAGCAAGAGGTGTGACTTCCATGACGACATCGGACACAACACAGAGGATTGTGTCGCGTTGAGAAAAGAGGTGGCATATCTCTTAAGGAACGGCTACCTAACGGAGATCATGTCAGAGCAAACAAAATCCATGTTGAGCAGAAATCAGAAGTCGTCTGCAGATCACCAACGACCTCCCTCACCTACGGCACCACAAAAGGTAATCAATTTCATTAACGGTGGTTCTGATTTGTGTGGACTAACCTACTCTGCAGCAAAGAGACAAGCTCGGGAATATTCCCGAGACAAGTCGTTGCAGGTGAATCAAGTCGTCCGAAAGGAGGAAGCTTGGAGGAATGCACCTATCACATTTGACGAAACAGACTTTGCAAATCGTGCTGATGCTCATCACGACACTTTGGTCATTGCACTTCGGATAGCAAACTGTGAAGTGAGACGAGTTCTGGTTGACAATGGCAGCACCGCCAACATCACAACCTTGAAGACTCTAAAGCAGATGGGGTACAAGGAAGAAGATTTGACTACCTCCGGTTCCACTCTTGTTGGATTTAATGGCGAGCCAAGTAAGACAATAGGTAGCGTATCTTTGCCTGTACATGCTGTTGGTCTTTATTTGCAGGTAAAGTTTGATGTCGTCCAAGATCTGCCCGCGTACAACATGATACTGGGCACTCCTTGGCTACATCAATTGGGAGCGATCCCATCAACGTACCACCAAGTGGTTAAGGTTCCGATGCCATGGGGGGTGCAGTCCATACAAGGTGATAGAGTCGCTGCCAAATCATGCTACCAAACAGCGATGAAGCCAACGGCCACCGCCACAACATCTGCATAGCAATCAAAGGGCGACTTCATTCCGGATGGGGAGGACGACAACATCACCAAAGACATCAGCATTGATCCAGACCATCCGGATAGAGTCGTCCGCATTGGGGGCAACATGCCGACTCAGTTGGAAGAAGAACTTGTAGCTTTCCTGAGAGAACATAAAGATGTCTTCGCCTGGAGTCACGACGACATGACAGGAATCGACCCACAAGTAATCACTCACAAACTCAATGTCAATCCTTTACACAAGCCAGTCCAGCAAAAGAGACGGCGATTTGCCAGAGAAAGAAATGACATCATCAATCAGGAAGTTGAGACGCTGCTGCGTACCGGTAAAATACGCGAGGTAAAGTACCCTAATTGGCTTGCTAATGTTGTTGTAGTGCAGAAAAAGAAGGGTCACCAGAAAGGCAAAAAACCTAAGTGGAGAGTGTGCGTCGACTTCACTGATCTGAACAAGGCTTGTCCAAAAGACATGTTTCCAATGCCACATATCGATGTCCTCGCAGATGCCACAGCGGGACATGAGATGTTGACATTCATGGACGCTTTCAGTGGCTACCATCAGATTCAATTACACCCTGACGACTAGGAGAAGACCGCATTCATCACTGAGACAGGTACATATTGTTATATTGTTATGCCATTCGGTCTAAAGAATGCAGGAGCCACTTTCCAAAGGTTGGTGACAATGATCTTCAAAGAGCAACTCGGGAAAACTATGGAGGTTTACATCAACGACATGTTGGTCAAATCCAAAAAAGCATCAGACCACATTGATCATCTGCGGATATCATTCCTGAAGTTGCACAAATACAACCTAAAACTGAATCCTGCCAAATGCACATTCGGAGTGTCGTCAGGAGAATTTTTGGGTTATATCGTCAGCGAGAGGGGGATAGAAGCCAGCCCGGGGCAGGTCCGAGCTATACTCGACATTGAATCTCCCAAGTCGATCAAAGATGTCCAGAGGTTGACGGGACGAGTTGCGGCGCTCAACAGATTCATATCAAAGTCGTCAGACAGGTGTCGACTTTTCTATGATGTCCTCAGAAAAAATAGAAAATTTGAATGGACAGGACAACACGAAAAAGCTCTAAAACAATTGAAGGAGTACATGACGACACCGCCATTTCTGACGAAGCCTAAAGATGGGGAGGAACTACAGATGTTTCTAGCAGTGTCGGAGCATGCTGTCAGTGCAGTCTTGACCCGGGAAGAAGACGGCCAACAAACGCCAGTTTACTACATAAGTAAGTCATTAAGTGGGCCGGAAGCCAGGTACGCACTCTTAGAAAAATTAGTACTTGCACTAGTCACATCATAAATTAAATTGCGTCCTTATTTTGAATCACATTCTATTTGTGTTCGAACTAACTATCCCATGAAGTCGATCATGAGGAAACCAGAATTGACGGGTAGAATGATCAAATGGTCAATACAGTTGGGGGCATACGACATCAAGTATGAGCCCAGGATGGCTTTGAAATCACAGGCTCTAGCCGATTTTGTGGCGGATTTCAGTCCCAAACTACAAGTAGAAGCTGAAAAGGAGATGTGTCTGTTGATCGAGGATCCACAACGACAAAAATGGATCTTGCACACCGACGGAGCCTCAAACATGCAAGGCGCCGGACTTGGAGTTGTACTGAAATCACCACAAGGGGGCAACATAGTGCAAGCCGTCAGATGTGATTTCAACGCAACAAACAACGAAGCAGAGTATGAGGCACTGATTTTCGGGCTAAACTTAGCTCGAAACCTGGGCATAAAAACAATTGAGGTAAAATGCGACTCCCTTTTAATTGTTAATCAAACTAACGGAGTTTATGCAGCTAAAGACCCGAAGATGACGGCATATCTACAAGTCGTCAACAACTTGAGCAGCTATTTTGACGACATCACTTTTGAGCAAATCCCGAGGGAGGAAAATGTTCAAGCTGATGCCTTGGCAGCAGTAGGGTCATGTCTCGGAGCGGTAAGCAGTGACAACATCCCACTTGTACACTTGACAGAGCCGGCTATTGAACGGTCAGAGATGCTCAACATCATTGAGTCAACTGCGGACAGCAACTGGATGCAGCCATATATAGACTATCTCAAACATAACATCCTACCAACTGACAAACGAGAAGCAAGGGCACTCCTATCAAAGGTAACAAATTTTTTATTAATTGATGATGTCTTGTTTAAACGTTCAAAGGCAGGACCATATCAAAGGTGTTTAGCCCCACCCGA